AGCATCAAAAGTGTTTTCTTCCAAGCAGTTGTTTTCCACCATTATTGCAGCTTCTTAATTGGACCTTTTTTTTTYYTTTTTTGAAAGCAAACTCTAATACAGCTATGTACTCATAAGGTATGCTGTTGGCTTTCTATTTTTTTATATTTACCTGAAGTTTCAGATCTATGAGATGAACCATGTTGTAGTCCAAAGTAATGAGTTTTTCTGCTTGAGTGGTAATATATTGACTGCAGTTCCAAATGGTGAAGCTTTGAATAATAAAAAAAAAGGTTCTCTTGGTTACCAACTATGAACTACGCATGGGTCTGTTAAGCCAACATGTGGAGTTCAAGAGCAGGAAACTATGAATTAAATGTTTCCAAAAGATGTGGTTCAGTTTTAAAAAGTGTTCACGTTTAGTTCGTTATTTACCAAACATGTTTTTGACCCTTAGTTGGAACTACTACTGGTGTTTTTCTGAAGTTCACAAAATGTCCAACACATTTCTAAACCGTACCAAGTTTATTTTACTTCCCAGTGTCGCATGAGAATTAAACCAGGGTCTCTTGGCTGAACGTCATGTATTTGGGCTTCTCTCTGACCACATGGGGACTTTTCTCCACCACAGAAAAAAAGCTGCTAATTGCCTTTTTGTTGTGATGCTGGCAAGTAATATCAACACATCATCTGCCACCATGGATGTTACTAAGGTCAAATCATATATTATGTGAGACCATGTCGACTGGTTAACTCTAGAACCTCAAAGAGTACAAACTCTACCTCTTTTTCCTGCTCTTCTCTAAGCTGATTTTCTTCTTCTTTTGCATCACACTGATTTTTGGACACCCAGATTCCCCAGTCACTCATTCAGTGCCACATGTTAGTCTTGCTTTGAGGACTAGTTTTATGACTTTTTATGTATTTATGTCAAACAGAAATATGGAGAAGAGTTTTGGCAAAGGTCTCGGGAGTAATTTCAGCTAACTGTCCCTAAAGGTGAGAGTGAGAGTGAGAGTGAGAGAAAAGAAAAAAACCCTCTTCAGGACCAGTCCTTCTCTTTGCAGATTACCCTGCAGAAACATTCAAAGCCTGAGGGACTAGATGCTGTTAGTGGTTTTGAAAGTCGCTGCAGGAAGATGAATTTGTTGGAATATGTTATCACTCATTTTGTCTCCCTATTTCCGTTTTCCTCAGACATTAATGATATCTGATTTCTTTTATGCAAAAATAGATTTCTGATAATTAAATAACCACCTTTTGACTTGTTAAACATTATTACAAACAGGAAACAATATGTTTACTTTGACAATTGTTTGCTATTTTATCAAAAAAGGCCTGGAGATCTGATTTGTATTAGATAGAAATTTGAGCAGTTATTTGAAAACTACCAGGTGTGAGACCCAGGAAGCAGACAAGAACTCAGAGGTAAATAATAATAATAATAATAATAATAATAATAATAATAATAATAATATATAAATGAAAAAAATAAATCTATGTTTATTAACAAAAAGTGCTGACGAGCAGTAATTCCTCACACATAACATCCACAAGGAAATAACTCAAAGAGACAAACTATCAGGCTGAAGAGACAGGAGGCATAATATAAAGGTGACTGAACGAGGGACTGATTAGAAACACCTGGGAAGGAAACATGCAGGATCAGGTGTGCATGGGAGGAGCTAGGAAAGAACACAGGGGGAAATGTACACAGAAAAGGCACTAAAGCTGAAAGGAAAACAACACAGATCTGAACAAAAACACTAAATGGTAGAAAAAATGAGTTGCAAGGAACGCTGGAGACAATCACGAGCTAATTAGTATCTCAACAATTGATTAATAAGGAATTTGTCCGTATGTGGTTGAGTAGCTTAATATTATCAGGCTACTTTTACTATTAGATTATTAATTATGATACACATTTTCAAGTGAGTCTAGAAAAATTCCAAGTTTTTTCTCAGTCAACAAAACTATGAGCTTCGAACAACCTTCAGATTTTAGCTACTTATTGGATTTTGCTTAAAGCAGTTTGTTCTTTGTTCATTTTCAAATTAATCTCTGATAACTWCATAAAGAAATATGCCTATTTTTGGTGGAGTTTTTTTGTACAGGGTATAAATAATAATATCTTACCTGTTGCAGATAGCTTTTTATTGACCTAATTTTGAAGAGATCAAGCTTAATTTTGACCAGACTGATGATTCAATGGCTAGTCCAAATGGGGTCAAGACTAAAATGTATTATTGCATCTAATAAAAAACTAGATACCATATAGTGGTAACATATATGACCCTCTAATGTGTGGAATGCACCAGAACTCAGAACTCCTCAACTGGTCCTCGAGGGCCAACATCCTGCAAGTTTTAGAGGTTTCTCTGCTCCAACACACCTGATTTGAATAAATGGGTGATTAACAGGCTTCTGCAGAACCTTGGGAGGTGATTCAATCACTGAATCAGTTGYATTGGAGCAGGAAAAACCTATGTTTGAACCGGTTGGTTGAGAACCACTTCTCATTTAYAATGCACCCAACACAAAATATCATGTGAAAAACATCTAAAACATGCAGAATAGTGGCTCTCAACAACCCAAAGCGGTATATGAAAAATCAGTTTTCAAGCCACCATTACTCTCTCTACAGTATCACTGACTTTACCTTTTTTTCTGTTTTTTGCTCACAAACTATTTTATTTAYGTGTTTAAGACGCATTTAATTTAGACTTTCTGTATTTTTAGCAACCTTGCTTACATTCTCATACAAAAAAGTTTACTGATGACCTCCTATCCCCAGCCATGCTGAAATGATTGCATATATGTGTACAGTCAGACGTCCCTCGGATGTCGTTGGCATATTTCCGAAGCAATTTTCTCGACAATGAATAATTCACCAGATATTATTCCAAAGGTCATCTTATACTAATTAGTATCCTGCTGTTGACTAAACAGCCTCCAGGTACCTGATGGCCAGTTTAATTACAATTTAAAATGAGCGGACTGTTTGACGATCTCTATATGTTCTCCTGACACTTCAACAGATGACACCTTGAGAACTAAGTAGGCTTACAATAAGTTGGGCTTGTTAGCAGATGGGAAAAAAGTTTGTGGAGTGTATGGTGTTACAATCACCAAGTTTTTTTTCCCTCCCTAAAATATGCACTAATTACAGGAAAAGCATATTGGAGTTGTTGAGTGTATGTTTTGACAGTGTAGATATCCTTGGGACCGTCACTGTCTCATTAGCCAATTACCATGAAAAGCTAATAGGGCAGGTCACAGCAGACTCTTTAAGGAGACTGGGGACCGAACATATGCTGAAGAGGCCTCACAATGACACGGTCCCCAAAAAGCTTTAGAGTGTTACGAGCTACGTGTCACAGTTCTTTGTGCCGAGGGATCCTGTCATGTCCAGTTGTTGTGAACATCAACCTCTGTGCTGTAGTGTAAGCTTGAGGTTTCCTCTCGGAGGACTTGTACATGTTCATAAAAGAACAATGGATAAAGAATTAAGCCAAAAAGGCCTTGGATAGCATAGATGACCTAGAGGATTGTTGAAACTGTGAGTCTTTAACGCAATAAAACTCTCATGGATTGAAGGATTACTTTAAATAAGAAGTAAAGATGCCTAATTTAAGAGATACATTATACAGATTGATTATGAACAAGGACTTTTGTAAAGTAGACCTATAATGGTGGGGGACATTTTCTTTTTATTTTAACAGACTAGTTATTTTGGGTCCTCTTTGTTTTTTTAATTTAGTGAATTCCAGAGCAGTAAAGGTATTATAGGAACAGTAAAAGATTATGATTTGGATCAAAAAAAACAATGTTTTATAACATAAACCAAATACTCACTGCTCCAGTTTGAGCTTTTTTCCCTTCCTTTCACAGGAATTCATCAGATTTTACAACTCATTACTTGTAACTGGTCACTGACCTTTGAAACATGGGTCACAGAAATAGACTGCATGAATAAAATGTTGCATTTTGTTGATGAGTCACAATTTATTAAAAAAAAACTATATTTTGATCTGTTATACAAGATATTGTTTTGATTTTTATTTACAATAGGATTACATACAAAAACAGGCAATTATGAAACATTCTGCTACAAAGCACGCAATCTCTTGTGACCTGTCTAAAAGGCTTTATTTACYGTTTTTTGTCTTTAATAACATTTCAAAAGGCACAAGTTTGCCATGAATTGTTAGTGTGTTGGTTGAAAAYAGAGCAGAGTGAAAGGCAGTCACTCATTATCTTTTAAAGCGCGTCAACAGAGCCACTTGGCTGGCGTGATGCAGAAGTTATTTACTGTGATGACAACAAAATTACAGACTGTGAAGTAGCTTTTGAGCAGTGATTTTAAAGGCAGAAAGTAACTCACTTTCGGGCTTTCTAACTTTGACCCAGTTTTATGCTCTTAAACTCTGTATAGAACGAAAAACATTCAAAAATTGTTTTTGCACATGGTCATTTGCTCAAGCAAAAATAAAAAAAATAACTTGTCACATGCCGTACAATTTTTTGATCTTTTGATAAGTAATTGGTTTGTTTTTCCTCTTTCATAGTCCTTGTTTTTAGCTCGTCAAACTGCCTGTTTTCTATTGTAATCAGAACTCCTGACTCATAACTAAACCACATGAGAATTTTGTTCAGAAATTTGGCATTAACTTTTGGAGTCAATCCTGGATGGCTGTAAAATATCTTATGGACCACTGGATGGATATTATTGAAGTTTTCCCAAATAATGTTTGGCTGAATAACTTTTTAATTCGGACCTTAGCTAACCTAACTTTACAGCCATCAAGCTTAGTGCTTTAATAGCTATGCTCATAATTTTTTTGATACTTTTATTTTATAACTTTGACATGTAATGAGATGGGTTATATGCACTCTTTCAAGAAATGCTRCATTCCTTATTAAATGTATGTTTTAACTAGAAAATAATTTGTAAAGTCCAGTCAAACATTAAAAAGGCAGGATCAAACAACTTGCAGTTAAAGACAAACATGACCAGTGTCTCGTTTGAGGTCTCAATATTTAATGGTTTAATTAAAATYCAATGACATGAAAAATCATTTTACCATATGGAGTATCTTTTTTTTCATTGAATTAAGTGGGATACCTTACAAAGGCATGACAACACAGACTGTATAGCTTTAATACAAATTTGCTGGCAAGCACTGAAGCCTTCTCTCAAAGCAAACTTGACACACAGATGACTATTTTACAAGCGTTTAGCTAAAATTTCTATTGTTTTTTTCATATTTATTTTGTACAAGATACATTTGTGTACAGAAAATTGTCTGGCAAGGTGCACGCCAGCTCACGTCCACAGACGCACACACACATACATACATACATGCAAGGAGATGCTCTGGCTCTCTCTTGCAAACTTACATCACCTATAAACACATTTGCACACACACTCTCATCAGTATWATGCATAAGTATTCATTTACATTACAACAGAGATTGTCATCTCATCACTTCTTATGTTTTCCCTTTTTGCTTATTGTGAACATTGTGAATTCCAGTTCTCGCGCCGTGTCTTTTAAAATGTTTCACCATTTTCATCTGTTCTTCGGGGTACTGCTATATACAGTTTAAAATCCAGATTACCTGACAGTATAGATATCTGATATTAGTGAATGAGAAGAGGTTTAAGATGTTACGACCAGTTCATATTAAACGTGTACACTGGGTCACATTGGTTTTCTTTCATTTGACAGATGAAAAGCAGTAAATCTTGACATTGACATCATTTCGATCTATGTGGATGATTGAAACACGCAGTCCAGTGTCGACTCGTCAAAGTCCAAACAGTTCATGCAAATGTACAACACTGAGTTGAAAACATCATTTTTGACAAACTTAAAATAATAATAAAAACAATAAAAAAAAAAGAAATTGGCATTCGCCCCTCTTTGAATGGTGCAGAAGAAATGAAAAACAAAAATCTAAATCACACTCGACTGCATGCGAAGGGATCACTAACAGTTTGGTCTTTTTTCCAACACTTCTTGAGATGTAATCATTATGACACAATTAAAGCAGCCACTCAGAGCAACCTCATATCAGAAAATAATGATAACAGACATTYAAATGATATGTTTGCTGTTCTGAAAATGAGCAAATATTACACTTMTATGTAAGAAGTGCGAAAATAAAATGTAAACTTGGTTTTCATGAAAAAAAGAGTAAAAATCAGATTCAAAACCACATCCTAGTGGTAAACATTCATGCAGGTATTTTATAGTGCTCTCTTTTAAATATGTCCTTTCTGCAGCACAAAGTAATTAATGTAGGTAATCTGTAACACAATGTGGGTTACAGAGGAATAAGTCTGTCCTTACTGTACATTTGTGATTGGAGAGAGTAGTTGGACAGTGTGGATCATTCTATACAAATTTCACATATAGTTCCTCTTGTGTGACACAGAAGAGGCAACATTAGGTCACCTATGTATTTACCATCAGACAATGCAACTACCTGCTGTAGTTAACGCACAACACGTCTTCAAATAACAAAAAAATGTTATATCTCAGTTTCGTCGTTCTTAGGGAGATCTAAAGGATTTTGAGGCAGCTTYAGGATCACATAACAAGAGTGTCGGATATGAAAAGTCGAATCTGCATTTGGCAAAGTGATGAAATTCCAATTTTCTCTGACAATGTGATGTATGTTCCTTTTGATATGTGCTCCTTTTGATTAAAAATGTATCGTGGATACCAGYTCATGTCCTAAAACAATGAAAGGAGATGACAAGGGAGGGGGGTGGGGTGTGTGTGAGCGACTAAAAGTATTAGTAAATGAGCTGAAATTGGATTTTGAAACAGGGACGTTTTTATTAAATGGATGTTTACACCAGAGTTTATTTAAGTTGCCTGCTTTGAGTCCAGCTCATTATCATAAGTGACGGAGGTGAAATTGAACTGCCCTATCTTTGTCCTTGACACACTGCTCCCTTAAAAGATAATTTCAGCCAATATCAGATAAATTCCCCTTTATACTGTTAAGAAGAGGCATTATGTGAGAAAATGAAATAGCTAAGAACATACAAACACAATTTGCCCCTCACCTTCCCCCCGGGAATCTCGCATCACATTATAGATTTAGGCCTGGTCCCAATTTGCAAGATGGTACTAGAAAATGAATCTCATGACTCATATACCTGATGATGTAGACACCTGGCTTAGGTGTAACAAGAAAGAAAAATGGATTTCAGCAAAGTCACCTATTGTTGTGGCAATACATTATACTGTACCCAATCTGTTACGAAGGCAAGCAAGTCTGAAGTGGTTATTATAATCAAAAGAATTTGCTTGTTGTGGCAGTGATGCTGTTTTCCATGTRCAAACATGTGAAGGGACTCTCAACGATTTCTAAAGTTGATTCTAATGATCGGTGCAAAAAATAACACTAAAAAAATACATTTGTTAGACTCCGGATGCTTTAGAAACATCAAGACTTTGCAACCCACAGTAAGTATTAAAAGCTGGAACGGAGGTGTTTATAATTTGTAAAGAACAAAAGCAGTGTCTTTGAAATTTTGTCATATTTTTTATGCACTTGTATGTACAGCAATCTTTTTATTTATTAGCAACAAACTCACTTTAAAGTTCCTAAGCACAAAAGGTTTGCTACCGAATCGCCCATCACAGTAGTTTGATGGGAGAAATTCACAATCAGTTCAATTGCTATAGATTTTCTGAGCATTGTTTTTTTTAAAGAAAAAAACAAAGCCAGAAAACAAAAGCTACATTTCAAAAACACTTCTGTCTGTGCCTTTCAGGACTAAACTATTGAGATAATGCAAGGAGTGAAGATTTTCCTAATAGAGTTGGCAGAGTTTGAGCAATCACCATATGGAAAAACATCATGAGTATGCATGTGTGCAGGAGYGAGGGTTTGGGTTATTTCGGGATTTTTTTCTTTGTTGTGTACTGGTCCGTGATGAAAATGTAGAGTGCAAAAGATAAAGATGTGTTGCTGTCTACTATTGGCCTAGTTTTGCTTTGTAGATGTTCTTCTTCTTCTTTCTTCTCCTTTTTAACCCTTCTGCAGTCCCCTGACCAAAATAGACTTCTGAAACACGTTCAAGGAAAACATCTTTCAGTGCCAAAGAGGAGTATATTACACTTGTTATAAAGCRCAATGCTTCACTAGAACTTGAACTGAAACAGCACCAGCCCAGAGCTCATAATTAACATTTAGCCCAGTTTAGCTCACTCATAACACAAAGTACTGCATTTGCATTTGTTTCTGTGCCAGGAAATGATCTTTTAGAATGCAGTCTCAGTAAGCTAGGCCCATTAAGCTTAAAGTGTACAGTGCCCTTTGCTTAACACTAAGCAGACATCAAACAGAAAGCATTGTGTTTTTTTCTCCTGTAATGCATCTACTTTGGTATAGAACTACTCTTTATTTATTTTACACGAGTCTGATGAGTAGACACTCACATTTCCTTTTGAACACTCAAAGCAATAGTTTAGACTTTTGAAGTGGAGTTTTGTAGAAAGGTTATGACTTCCTGTAGAACACTCTTTTATTTCTCCAATTGTGATAGTACAGCTTTCCTTTCTAACTAGTCCAAGCGTGGCCAATCTTCAATCTCAAAAAGTCCTTGTAGGTTATATGTAAACACTATTTTATAAATCTGCTTTGATTAACAGTTTACTCATCAATCTGGTCAGAAGTGAACAATTTTCTCTCTTGTTTAAATATGTATTTTCCATGCACATAGTTTGATTCTATACCCCAATCAAGCAACTATGTTACCTTCAGTTGAAAACRCTGTATATATCAAAAATAAATTTGACATCATAGTTTATATAAASCTTGAAAATGGCCGCTGTCTCTTTAAGAACCTCTTACAATTTTCGAYGTTCCCACTTCAGCACGTCTTCATAACCATGTGAAGCAACAAGGGGCGCTTGGCTGCAGACTGAGCTCCAGGGAGGAGCGTTGCGTAAATAGGCGGTGCTTTGTRCCAACAARTGTGTCTCCAAATAGCTACCACAGCAGATTCAAGTATTTCTCATACATGCATAAATGAGTCAGAGCAACACTCTGGTTATGTTTTTGATCTGAGAGTGACATAACATGATATAAAGCTCAAAAATGTCCATTTTGCAGAAAGCCCCCTCCTTTAAAAAGCTATCTACAATTGTTAAAGTATGAACCTTTATTTAAACTCCACTTCAAAAAATACGAACTCCCTTTAAGCAGTCACTCYGATTCCATCTGTTTTTGTCTGAATAACATTGTCCTGGTCTCATTCATTTCAAGGTGTCTTCTTTGATACAACTGAGTTTGATAAAAGTTATTTAAACGATGCATCCCACGTGTAGTCCAATCGTGAAGCCATGAGCGTCTCTGGATGGAGTTTGATTTTCACTGTAGGTCAGGCCAGTGAGGAGCTGTCTTTAGGAATTACAACTGGTGCTCGTGTAAGAAAGCGCTGCTGCCACCGCCGGTGGGCGTGTGCTGCCCTGGTGAGGAGAAGCTCGCCAGCGGGATGACCTTGACCGGGTCCTCCTTCTTACCGCTGCAGTGTCTATCCAGGGTGTTGTAGAACTGCGGCCGGCTGAAGCCCCTGTCCAGTTCGTCTTTTTTGGGCACGGACCTGCCCAGCGTGTGGCGGCCGTCCATGACCCCCATGTTAGCTTTCATTCCCTGYGCGCAGCTCTGCTGGAAGCCGAAGGAGGGGAGCGTGGCGGTGATGGTGGTGGCGGTAGGGGTGCATGCGGGGCTGTTGCTGCCAGGACTCTGGAACTGGGCCAAGCTCGGGGGCATCCAGCAGCTGTCAGAGTGGCCCAGTATTAGACACTCCTGGGTGCAGGTCTCGGAGGCTTCAGCCAGGGCTTTTTGCAGGTTCACCTCAATAGCTGTAAAAATGAGAGACAGACAGAAAGAAAAATGAACGGTTAATATAATAAATCAGAACTTACAGAGTGCGTTAGGATTTACAATGATTTTACCGAGGTGGAGCCAAAGCACTGAATGAACTCATGAATCATAATGTAAACAGAGGGGGGGAAAGTTGTCCCCTTATCAGAGGCTGACCCACAAAATGTCATCCTTTTAGAGAAATGAAAGTCAGTTATAAATGTTTCATTTCATCTTGTAATGAGAAAAACACCAGCAGAGCATTTAATTTCCAGTGGTATTCCCTTGACTCAGTCTGTTTACCTACAATGCGCAATGAATTCCCTGTTGCTTAATTAGAGTTTGGGGGAAAAAAAACATGTCTCGCTGTTTGTGGCTCAGATTGGCTGTAGTGTGTTAAATATTTAATGAACATCTTTAACAGAGCACTGTTTATTTTAATCACTGTCAGTGCCCTTTTGATTCCTCAGRATCCAAAATAAATCTGGTGTAACAAGGAAAAAAAAAACAATTCAAAGAAAGAAATGATGCTGTCCCTTGATCTCATGAATGGAAAGATCAGATTGAACAAAAAGAATGAATCGGCTTAAAACTGAACTGAAGGGGAAGAAGGGAAATCAATATTAAATGAACATTTGAAGGTGCATTTATTACRTGCTGCACAAGCCGCTCTGTTTCCTGCATGAAAGGGAAGAAAACAATAGAGAACTGAGAAGCAAATAAAGAGGCGAGTGTGCAAGGCTAAAGACTCTAACTTTCTTATCTCATTATCCCAACAMCGACATCACATGTGGAATGAGTCTGGGATGAGGCCTCAGCATCGAGACTTGGCAATAAAGCCTGTCAGGGTAGATAATTAGAATGTAAAGCAGTATGCACCAAGGCAACCCAGAGCCTGCAATGTTATGTTTTCTAGGCCATGCAAAGGAAAGAGAGGTCCTCGTTCGAACATCACATCCCTCCGCCAGGCCGCAGCTTCAAGCCATCACGTAGAAATTATTTACTGTATTTGCATAAATGAGACGCTYATAAATAATTAAGCACTTTTAGACCACACCACACAATGAGGACTATTTCCTTCCTGCACATGTTTATGTACCCTATAATTCGCCACAGGTGTRAGGAAAACTTCTAACGACCTTGTTTGCTTTGCAGCGCTCGGCAAAGTAAAAGTGAAAATTCTGATTATATGAGCGTGAGTCCCTCCTCCAAACACCATAAACTCTGGTCCAGTGAGCACCTTCTCTTTCAAGTTTGTGCTGCGAGTTTCTGATTGAATGTCTGAACGTCAGCTTTAATTATCCGAGCGGTGTCTGAAAGGGAGTCACGTGGTGTAAATTGTGAGGGTATATTTGGAAGGCCCCCGTGGAGTCAAATCTGTCCTCTCCATATTGAACCGGAGCCACGGAACGGGGAGTGTATAAATCCCTTGGGCGGTAAATGTGTCACCTTTCAGAGGGTCAGTAACTTCATTAAGGCAAAAATGGATGCCGTTTTCTCATTCTCTGAGCTAGCACAATCGGGCCGAGCCAAGTCGCTGTCGAGACCCGAGTCAATCTTTCTCCGAGTGTTTTCTGCTGCTGGCGAAGCATGTTTTTAGATGCTAATGTCTTTGATCAGAGGAACTGCAGGTTAACATAAATGTCTTACCAGAGCGTGCACTCAATCAGACAAATAGAGGCTTGTGTTTTTTATTTGACTCATTGCTTCTTGATCAAGTTTAATTGATCCATACAATCACAAATGAGGCTGTGCTTTTTGGACTGATAGAAATGAAAGGTGATCTATGGACCTCGGTGCGTAGGCCAAGCAAATGTTGTTTTTGTTGATCAGTAGCTGTCGATGTAGCAGGTTTGGACTAATATACTGCCACAATACAGTGTTTTGGTCGCACATAAGTTATAACATGCCGTGAGGTGGGTATTGAATGTGAGTTGTTGAAACACATCTGCAGGTGCTTAAATCCAACAGGGTTCTGACTTTTGTTCAAACCTGTATTTCTCTGTGTATTGTTAGCAAAATATCTCTTCTTTAAAATTCACTTTTTGATTCATTTTTGTCTGTTATCAAAATATTTCATGAACCCCTAAATGGATTTTCATAAAAATCTCAGAAATTAATCACTGGGCATATATTTACAAATAATTACCTTCTGATGTCAACACACTTTAAGATGGCTTCTACAGCCAACTGATCATTAAAAACATAGAATTAGCTACAACTTGATTAATTCTACAAATGTTTAGTATGTTTGTTGTGGTAGTGTCTGAGCAATGCTACACCCTATTTGCTTGAAAGCAAAATATATATCTTATACCACTGGATGGGTTTTATTAAAGGGGTGGTGATATCATGCAAAATCGACTTGTTTGAATTTATTTCATGTTATAATGTCATTCCCGTATCAAACACATACCCAGAATGTTGCTTTGAATCGTTCATGTATGTGTTAGAAATCCTTGAATCTCCTGTGCTAGCCATGTGGATCTGCCTAAACGTTTGCTGGTACAAAGCTCCGCCTATTTGTACAAAGCTCCTCCCTGGAGCTCAGTCTGCAGTCGATATCCCACCCCAAACAGCACCCCTCCCCTGAAGCATTGCTGTGAAGACTTGCTGAAGTGCATGTGWTGGAAACAGTAGGAGGTTCTTAAAGAGACAGAGGYTAATTTCAAGGTGTTTAGATGCAAATCCACCATATTTGATGCAAAGTCAAATTTATATTTGATATATTCAACATTTTCACAACAAGTAACAGTTACTTGTTTGTGGTATAGAATTGAACTATGTGCATGAAAAATACATAATACCCCCCTCCCCCAATAAGTAAATAAATAAAATAAAATAAAAAACCTCTCAAAAGTAATCATTGGATGTATTTTTTTACAGCTGAATAACTTTCGGTGCCTATCAAACTCAAGGTGGCTTTCACAGCCCACTGACCTTACAAAACACAAAAATAGCTGTAACGGTGAGTTCTTCAGATATTGAGCTAAAGTTTTTTCATGGCACAATCTGTCAATCATTCACAGTGTATACTCCAAGTTCTTGAAGATCACAATATAACGCATGCGATTGTGCATTGTTACTTTAAGGTTTTATCAAAACAGCCACTATTTCATTCTTTCTCAACATGAGATGATCTTTTTTTTTAATTTTCCAAGAAATAAAATACTGAAAAGAGCAATAAAATCCAGTACAGTGTGTTGAACACAATAAACCTAAAGTAAAAGAATGCCTGGCAAAGTCACCCATGTGACTACAGCACTCAAAGGATTTGCTTGAGCAATTTTAGAAATTGGGTTAATTATTACAAAAAATAAAACTGGCTTGAGACCGCCAACAAACATCAGCGTGTAAAGAAATGAATATGAAATAACAAGTTTTCAGAAACCGGAGCAGACTGCTGCCGTTGGTCTTTCCCTTATTCCCAATTTTTACTCACTTTCAACAGCTTTATGTCAACAGCCTGTTATTCCTACAAATTCTATATGAATTATTTCTTAAGCAGCCTCTGAAAAAGACACAAGCCTGAACTATTTTCTATTCCGGTGGGATAGTTTGGATAGGCTGCAGTGGGTTTTGGAGGGTTAGAAGGATGACTTGAGTGATGTCGCTGACAGCTCTCGCTGCTTTTGTCAGCTCGAGGTATGCTGCAGCCCCCTTTGTGAAACTGCTGTCTTTTGTATTCTGGGAAAACAACTGTACCCCGTGGAGCTTTCGGAAGAAATCAAACATTACTGATGCAACAGATCTCCTCGTGATGTGAACATTTTCTTTCCCCCTGCGTTCCCTTCAAGGAAATTTGAATGGCAGACAAGTGGGGATAATGGCAAACGATTGGGTTTATCAGGCAGCACGACTGAGATCAGACCTACTTTTCTCGTTTGTGATGATTCATCTTTACAGAGTAGTGGTGATGCAGATGAAAAGTAACCTGGATACCTGTTTAGCAACTCTGACACGTCATCTGAACACCTCACAAATGCCTAACAGGAATTTGAATTCAAATATTCAGCTCATGATCTGCTTCCAAACAACTTGTGCGACGGGGTGATGTAATATCTACGGCCTTGTTATGTATCTGAAGACATCGTGGCACAGTTTCCGACTTGATGTTGTGATCACGTACAAGGTCGACATCAGAAGTAGCCTACAGCATTCCTGTTCTGCAACAATAACACGTCCACTGGCCACGGATCAAACAAACCTGCTTCCACATTCATGTGACCTTCCAATTGTGCAGTCAAAAAATACCCACTTGTTTAAACATAACATGTCTTAAAGCAAGGGATCAAAATGTAGCTGGCATGCAATATACTTCAAATATTTTTTTACACTAAATGAAAACAATGACTAAATGGAAGTAACCTTCAAGGAATGACATCACCCACCTCCATACAGCCCAAATTTTAAGCAACAATCTTACATGATCTGTTTGTGCTCATGGTGAGTGTTGAGAATGAGACACATTTCAGCTCATGATTTGTATAATTAACTGAGCTACTGATATTTCTGTGTTTGATAAGGTCATTTATCTACAGTGGAAATCAGGTTGACTCCGATACTCGATCAGTTATGAGATATATTGCTGACAGACAGTGAATTGAAAACACACAGACACAAGTAGCTATATGCTCACCCACATTATCTGTGATAGAAAATATACAATTTAAAAGACATTTTAAAATATGCCATAGGAACTCTCAATCTGTCAAAAATACATTGGAAAATGTCGAAAATGTGTGTTCAGGAAAAGTCCTGCTTTAAATCAACTAACAAGGGAAATAAAAGGTTTAAATCGACACGGACAAGTTCCTAATCAATGGTGCAAGTGGAGCAAATGCAAGCTCTTTTTTTAATGAGGCTGATTTAAAAAAAATTCCAAATCACTTCTGGGAATCCACAAATTTTCCATGTTTAGATCAAAAAGTGAGTTTTGGCAAATACCTAAATCTAGTTTTAAATGTTAAAGGGGCTATAACATACAGTGGTTTGCAAA